GAGATCAGCGTTGAAGACAAATTCTGTGCTGTTGCGATTACCAGAACGTCGACATTGTCCGTCGAAGCACGGGGGGTGCTCGAAAACATGTAGCTAATACCCGAGGAAACATATTCTAGTACGCTAGAGACATCTTCTGAAACGTGCGATGCCGCGCTCGTTGCAGTGTCCACGATTGCATGGAAAGTGTCATTCTCGCCGCTCGATGCGGGAGGTTCAGCTGATTCGACGATAATGTCGGGAACTTGGGTTGACACGACGTCCTTGTCAGAAACGTCTACATCATCAACAGCGCTTGTCGCATTAGTGGAATCAGATTCAGTGATTCCACATGGTTGATCCGCCTCTAGTGCCTGCTGCGGGGAGGTCTCGCTGGACAACAGCGACTCTTCAGGTAATGTGGTAGCTGAACTCATGGAGTCGGTGGGGCCTTGAGGAACAGTGGTTGATGGGTGTTCCATTATAGGAATTATAGGAATGGGTTTAGAGGGCGCGATAAGAACATTATTAAGGTTCCCGGCAGCATCGAACTCTGTTGGGCGGTCATTGCGGGTGACCCATTTTCCGTCCACAATGAACTTATATGGAATCTTCTCATTCCAAGGAACCCTGACATTGCCTACGAAACCAGAAGCGCCCTTGGGCAGATGCATAGTGCAGGACCACTACCAGGATCAAAAAATAACGAAACTGAGCCTGCGGCGAACTGTGGGTACTTACGTGGTCGAATGAACCAGTTAAGATCACGTCCGAAGCATCACCATAGGGCCTGAGAGTAGAAGATGAGCACAAGCGCTCATCAATTTGGGGATAACATACCACGACAATTCGACTTCATGCAAGTCGCCCATGGTGTTAGACGAAGAGTAGAAGGAGGGAGATGACAACCTGCAGAAAACCCTGCCGTAATGTCCTCATGTTGGCAATGATTTAAGCTGAGCCGTGGTTCGAGTGTCACGCTTCGTGACAAAGTATAAATGTACCCATGTAACAACTTTAACTTAATGCTTGCTACAAAATGAAGAAAGCGCAAACGGCGATATCTATTCACTATCAACGGCTTCCCTTCTTGTCCGCTCTCCATTCCTTGAACATTCCGTCAAGACTCTTGTATAATAAGTGGGATGGTAGACATCGAATTATCTCACTCATCTTTTCCTCTGCCTCAGACTTTCCCTTCTCACCAGAAGCCTTCCGCGCAAAGTCCACTGACATGTGGAACAATGCTAGTACCGCCAACGATACGTGCGTCTGCTGGGCACCGTGAGACGAGGACTGTGAAAGAGCAGCCAAAAGTGGTCCCGACACGCTCGGAGCTGATATCGCAGGCGTAGATTGAGAAAAGGGGGTGGCACGCTCGCCTCTGACCAGCCTGAGAAGAATCTCCATCATGTTATCTACCTCAGTTAAATGCGTCTTCACGAAGCGCTGTCGTTCTGTGGGAACACCGACAGGGGAGTTGATTGCCCACCCATCCAACACCGTCCAGATCGTCGGAGCCTTAGAGACAAGATAGTCAAGATCGAGACTTCTGTCAAGATAGCGAGAACGAACTGGATCAGGATCTACAACTGCGATCTTTTTTTCCCACCCATCAGCAGCATCCCCTGCTACCCAGAACATTCTTCCAAACATGCTCTTCAGCCACTCTTGCACATCGCCTGATTTAACCCACTTAGGTTCCGACAATGGGCGCTCAGTATCAAGATGAACCATCAAAGTGATCTTTGAAGGTAGCGTAGCCTTCGAGAAGGAAGGTAGGGTCTCATCAGTGCTGGACGCTTCTGATAAAGTTGGTAAAGGAGAATATGATTTTGTCGCATCGGAAAGTCCCTCAATCTATAATTGTGTTAGAGATCATAATATCAAACGAACAAACAATCTCACCAAAACGCCCTTGAGGCCATCATCGATACCTTTATCGAGGGATATATGAACTTCGATTCGACCCTCAGATCTGTAAACCTTCAAAGATTCGACCACTTCTGCGTCCACAACCAGACGCCTGCTACCGGCAGCATATGAGATTGACAGGCGGTTTGCAGATGGCACTCGGCCACCTTTCGAAACTGCCATGTTTGCTGGAGGATGCGATGGCTCGCCATATGTTGAACCAGAAGAGGTAGAGAGTAATGTATTCGACGTAGGAGAGGCAGGGGGCTCAGGAAGGTGCTCTTGATCCACAGATTCGTTGGCACCTTTGGTATGCATAATGACTTCTTCGTGCTCGACCGGAATTTCGCCGGTAAACTCTAAGACAACTTGCTCTTCTGCATATGTGCCTGCACCCATATCCTCGTCGTGAATTGTTGACGCAAGTGACGCCTCCGCTTGAAGGGGCTTCGGATCGGAAGTCTGTGTGTCGGATACCTGCGTATCAAGGTACCCATCATGATCAGTAGACTGTTTCTCGCTATGAGGCATATCAGGCTGAACAACAGGAGGAGAACCATGACCAGTAGAAGAACTCGTATCAAAGGAAGCGCTCAAATAAATAGCATGAGAGGGATCAGCTAGATTAGCTGATGCATCAAAGAGCCTATCAACATTTTCATCATCAACAGGCTGGGTGACTGGCGAAGCATCGCCACCCTCTTCAGGTGCAGAAACCAATATGTTCACGTTCGGCTGTGTCGCAGCAGCACTACCTTGGTTTACACCAAGGTCAACAGCAGCGACATCTGAGGACACTGATGACTTGACCCCTTCAGCATCCGGGACAGCATCGTGATTGTCCCCAACATGTGAGCCATCAAACTGCTCATGAATACCTCCTGAAGAGGCAATTCCGTCCATCTCAGTACTATGGGAGCCTTTAAGATATATGTTAGTGTGTACAGCCTTGAGCCACGAATGGACGCTCTCCCCAAGCTCGAAAGCATCCACCCAAAGCGAAAAACAAGGAAGGTTCAACTCACCATTCCCATTGAGAAAAGTATTCGTAGCAGGAACGAAATGGAGAACACTTGCAGCATGGCTCTCCTCTTCATTCATGTCATCAACGGCAGTAGCCGCATCGGCATCGGCGCCTACGTCGCCTTCATCCTCAGCGATAGCGGCCATGAGCCAATCACCTTCACTAGCAGTGTCTGCCACGCTGGGCGCTGCGCTTTCGCGGCCCACTCCATCCAAGTCAACACTGGTATTATCGTCCACCTGACCGCCGCGAGGAGGAGGCGGTCTTTCTCGACCTTCTTCTGCATCGCCATCATCATCCTCAAGCTTCTTGCGCTTGCCTTTGCGCATATCTGGAGGTGCAGTGTACGAAGCATTGTGCGGAATGGGATGTGAGTCATCAGGAGAAACAGGAGTGTGAAAATAAATGCGGATGCGAGAGGGTGGAGGCGTTGTCAACGAGGACGACTGCTCCTGGTAGGAAGCATCCGGTTTTGTATCTGCAGCGTCTGCTGTTGGTGTGGGTTCTGATGTGGCACCGGCATGCATATCTTCATCCTTAACTTGCTCTTGTGAGGAGTCCAAAAGAGAAGCAGCGACCTCTTTTTCTTCAGCCTTAATAGGGGATGGTAGCACTCCCCACGTCCATCCAAGTTCAGGCATCTCGAGGCCCACAATTTTAAAGTCAGTGAGCGTGCGCCGATTTTCGTCCTTCTTACCGCTGCTTGCAAATTGTGATGCATCACGGTTTCCAAAATTTGTACTACCATCCTGGCGGCCTGCACGACCTGAAGTATGGCCTTGTCCTCGTCCACGAAACGCAGTATTGTTTTGGTGGTGCTGATGTCCGGCATTGAACGACCCACCTCTGCGATTGTGAAAGTCCTTGTTAAAGCCTCCTCTCGAGCCGTGTCCACGCAGAGAATTTTGTTGAGCGGCGGCACCACCTCGTCCGCTGCCATTATTCACGAACATGCCACCGCCTCTGCCGCCACGTTGTCCGGTTAATCCTCCCCGGTTTCCGCTCATAACTGCACCTCTGCCTCTTCCGGTATTCATATTGCCTCCTCTTCCGCCGATTCCGCCTCTATTTCCACCCAAGGGCATCTGATTGGCACCAGGCTGCCCTTGACCCTGACCTTGGTTCTGGGGGTAAATCCCGACACTCCCGGGCGGTGCAGGAGGTGGTTGAAACTGAGGCTGAGGAGGGGGTGGTCCAAGTTGTCGATTCTGACCGTGGTGTTGGTTCGGACCATCAAACCGTTGGCGTTTGGCGGGGGGAAGATGTTGGGGTGGGGTGTGATGAAGACCATGGTTATGTCGAGGCTGCTGCTGGGGTTGTGGCTGTTGTTGAGGAAAATACGGTTGCGGAGGGGCCATCGTTTGTGTCACATGCGGGTACGCAGGCTGCTGTTGGGGCACGATTGGCTGTTGGGGTTGAGGAACGTACGGTTGCTGATAGCCAACGGACGGTTGATACGGATTGTACTGTTGTTGAGGTGGAGGTGGTGGAGGTTGGACCACAGGCGGTGGTGGTTGATACTGTTGCTGAGGATGACTATGTCTTTGCTGCCAGTGCATGCCCTGACCGCCATAACCGTAATTTGCATACAAAGCACTTTGTTCAGGGGGCGGTCTTGGAGGCTGCTGAGGTGCAGACCATGCCGGAGTGTAAGCGGGAGTCGCTTGTTGTTGTTGTTGCTGCTGCTGCTGGGCTGCCGCAGCCCAATAAGCGGAATAATCTGGAGGTGCAGCAGGCGGTGGTCCTGGAGGAAGTGGTGGTTGCGGTGGGTTGTACGTCGGTTGCGGTATGAAAGGATTTTTATTCATGACAGAATCCCGAAGCTGCCGTCGTCGCCGTCGTGGTCGCCGATGAACAGCTTGTCGTCGTCGTCGTCGCTCGTATGCGTGATTACTACAGTCTACAGTGAAAATGCAACGAACACATTCATGCTTATGTCAGCTTCCAATAGTCAGTGACGTTTAACCTCAAACGAAAAAAAGTACGATTACAGTCGTGAAAATGATGCCATAAAATACAATGATTAAGGTTGATATAAAATCGTCAATTGCAAACTGTCCGTCCGTGTGCTTCCACGGTGTAGCTACGTCCTTTCCTGACTTGCACCAGTACTAGAGGCACCTGAAGAGCCGGCGCTCGGACCACCGGTCTGGATCGCCGGGCTTGAGTGCAGCTGATTGAGTTTATCGCGACGATCACGCTGTAACAAATATTAAGGCGATTTGTGCACGATCTGGTTATAGCCCACCTACATCATGATCGTTCTTATCCTTGGCGACCTGGTCGACGTGTGTTCGTGCAGTTAATGAGTCTTGTTTGTGTTTTTCTAGCTGCTGTTGCTGAGTCTAGGAACCTTGAGCGTCGAAAAGAGGGTGGAGAAAGGCTACTACACACATGAAGGCTTGCCTGCGCCTTGTGAAGGTCTGCAATAGCTACGTCGTGTTTGTGGGTGATGGCATGGAGGGAATGAACGGTCTCCAGCTCCAGCTTTTCCAACTTCTTGACAGCTTTTTCAGCTTTGTTTACGGACTAAACAATGTCAGGGGTGGATATTAGAATCTGGGGATTGACGCCTTACCTTGCAAGCCTTGGCTTCTAATTTTTCGTGTTTGTGCATATCTTTGAAGGCTGACTGCATTTTCTTTTCCTCAGATTTGGCCTCCATTGAGAATTCCTTCTCAAGCTTCTTCGTAGACTCCGCATCTATAGGAAGTTCTGTAGGTGCAGACATGTTTGTTGGAGAGGAAGGTGTAAGAAACAAACGATATAGCAGTGATTACCTAGCTTGAAGCCCCTGAGGCAGACAGAGACATATGTGCCGATTTGATTTTTCACGTGGCACTGCCCTTGACAACAAAAATCTTGGTGATCATCATCGAAGAGAACGAACGATTCAGTATCCTTTTCATCTTACGGCCATCTTGCTCCACACGCACGACGTCATTGTTGATTCTGTTCGCTTTACTGGTGTAAGTGGAACGCATTAATATCTGCGCCATAGTCAGGATCAAATTAACTTCCTGACTCCCCACCACATTGTGCTCACCTGTGTTTTCAAGGGTCTCTGGTCGAAGAAGCTTGTGACTGATTCCAAGTATCAGTTCACAGCTAGGAAAGCAATATATTTGTCGGTAATTGCAGCCGATTGCGGACCTGTGACGTTAAGCAAGCTATTATATATGGAGCACGATGAAAGACAGACTCCGTCCTCCCCCTTCATTTGCGCCTCACGACCCGCTATTCACCTCTGACAACATCAGCGAGGAGGACCATTTTGTGAACTCCGCACCTTCGTCTCCTTTCCAACCTGATTCAAGCACCTCCCAGCTAGTGCCAGACCGTTGTCCATCACAAGAATCATTTGCATACCATTCCCAGGTCAATTTGATGAGCAACTACGAAAAAAATATCGACGGGTCACCACAATGCAAACAGGAAAGCGGCCCATATCCATCTCAAGCCAGCATTGCGCAAACAGGGACTCAGAAACCATCTGTCCACTATCACGAGGATGTAATTTCACCACCCGCTTCTGGAAGTAACTTCGCATTACCCAAATCAGACTCACGCCAGTCTTCGGACGATGAAGATGAAGAAGACGAGTTCGATTGGAGCGGTGACGAGGATCTCAATAATGAGGAAGCCAAGTTCGAGAAGAAGATGGGTATAAATATTAAGTCTCGCGGCTGGGGCATTATCAGGTAGGTTTGCCGAGGACGTACTATACCTTTTCCGACCAAACACGAACATTACAGGCTGGTTACTCTTCTCTTCTCCTCACTCATCGGGTCCACCTTCCTTGCGGCAGTCCTAATAACTCCCGCACTCATTGTCCATTTCTTCTGGTACAAACCACACCCAACGGACTACAGGCATTTTGTCGACATCAATATCGAGGCTTGGCTCTTCTGGGCAGCAGCCAATGTAGTCATTTCTTGGGGTCTCGCAATGATCATCGATATTATACCTGCCATCATACGTCTGGTGATTGCAGTCACGTGGGGCCATGTATCAGAGACCATTAGAACGAAGCTCGAGTTGTATGCCTCGACTAAGGACACTATCAAACCTCTCTTCTATGCCGCGGGCGCCTGGCTTAGCTGGAGCATTCTGTTCCAAAATATCTTTCAGTTGAAGGACCCGTCTAATGTCCAGAATTATGCTCCCTACACGGACCGTGTGAGCATCATCTGCCGCTCTTCATGTTCTGAAGCTTATTGAAACACCAGGTTGCTCAAGTAATCGAATTCCTGTTCTTTTTTACCCTGGTGGTATGCATTCAAAGGATGCTTTCCCATGCTATTGGTACGGTCACTCGGTTTGAGTCAGAATCATAAGTCTCATTGCTTCCAGCGTTTGCATTCCACAGGACTGCGTATAAGGAACGTCTAGACGAAGTTAAGAAAGCTCTTCGGGTGATAGAAACTCTTCGCAACTACAAGCCCACGTTATCGGCCCGTCACAAGTCCAACAACTCCTATTCAATGCTTGCGACCTTCACTGGGCTAAATCCGTTTAGCGACAAAGAACATTCCAATATTCTCGATGGTAGAGTGCGCTCAGAAATCTCTGCACTAAGTGAAGGTGATGAAACGGATACGGAGGATGGAGCAAAGCTGAAGAAGAACAAAAGAAAGGGAAAACATAGGCAACGCAAACCGACCATCATTAAAGCCTCGTCGGAGGATCTTGAGTCTTCGGCCACTACACCAGAACAATTTTCTTCCGTCGCCACAACATCAGCTAATCACTCCCCAGTCGACAAGCATACAACTCACAGATATCCTCCTAACCCTTCCGGCCCACGTTTTGTTGACTCACACACTGAAGATCCCACCATTGTCGTCCAAGCAGCGAAGGCACTTAAGACTGCTGTACTACACGATGCCCGGAATATCAAGGGCGACACTGATGAGCTTGAAGCGTTAGTCTTCAGTGTGAGCTCAACACACGAAGCAAAGGTAGGAGTATTTAGTACGACGTTGTGTACGCTAAAACTAACTTTGACGTCAGCGTCTTGCCAGAGCGATATACAGGACTTTCAGAAATCGCCGGTATACCTACCTCACAGCCGAAGACTTCTACCCCGCATTCGCCACGCAGGATGAAGCTAAAGATGCTTTCCGGGTTTTCGACACCGACGACAATGGCGATATATCGCGGTCTGAGATCAAGTCATCGCTGCTTCGTGTGTACAAGGAACGTCGGTTCCTGTGGCGCAGTATGCATGATGTTGGGGCTGCGCTCAAGACACTGGATCAAATTTTGCTACTCTTCGCCTTCGTCGTATTGTTTTTCATTTCATTGAGCACTTTTGGTGTCAATGTAACGCAGTCGTTGACGAGTGTATATTCCCTCGTTCTCGCAGCCAGTTTCATCTTCAAGAACTCTGCGAGCAATGTCTTTGATGCAATTATGTTTTTGTTTGTGACCCAGTGAGTTGCGTGGTTGTATGTGCTCGAGTATCAGGATAACCCCATTGTTTATAGTCCCTTCGATACTGGTGATCGATGCTTCATTGATAGTAAGCCGCTGAATTGTGGGCTGGGTGTTGCGATTGAAATCTTCATTTCCACTTTCAGATGAGAATCTAGTTGTTAAGAAGATGGACTTGTTTGCGGTATGCACGTTTACCTGGAATGAATGCACAGTCCATCTGACACTTTCTTTATCAGACGGTTTTTGCTCGATCGGATGGTACTGAAACATATTACTTCAATAGTCAGCTATTCACGAAGTTCATGTCCGTATCCGAATATTCCTTGTGCATCACGTGATATCTGACAAAAGCCTATATAGTACCAACGTTCGCCGTAGTGATGTACGAGCCTCTTCCACCTTCTTTGAATGTGTTGTACTGATTACCCTGGCAGAAAATGGCGGAGTCTTGTACTATCCAAGTTGCTTGGCGTACGCCACAAGCAAAGCTAGATGCGCTCGAGGAAAAATTGAATACGTGGCTTTCCACTGAGGAGAACAGGTGGTTCCAGCCGACCACGTCAGTTGTATTGCAAAACATCAGTTACCAACGTTATTTGGAGTGTACCATTGGTATCTCGCACAACTCGTATGTCTGTTTTTCGTATGGGAAAGGGGAACAGAAGCTGATCATGTTTTTTTCAGAACATGGCAGTAAGTTGCGTAGCATGTGACTTGAGTGTGTTTTACTGATGACTTCTTGCAGAGACTGGAGCCTCCGGAATACGCGCAGGACCGCATTCCACGCAGCAGTTCAATATTACTGCCGGGAGTTAGGGATCACAGCATATGAGGCACCTATGCCCATCGCATATGCAGACACTAACACGCAACAATATGATGTCCCTCGAGAAGCAGTACCTGATATCCTTTCAGATATTCAATCCCCTAGTGGTCATCGTGCAAGTCGAAAGAGCTTCCTTGGTTTCACACCTCCATGGGATCAGGGTACTCATTTGACACGTGCACACACTCGTGTGCGCAAAGGCAAGAGTCGCAAAGCAGCTGTGCGAGGTGTGGGTGCAGACAGTGGTGGAAATGGTTGAGCTATATCCTTCTTTTTAAGTCTCGACCGAGGATCTTGTTTGGACACTTAAGCAGGCGTACAGTCGAGGACAAACAAAGTTCATAAGTTTGGTACAGTCAATCTGTGGCCGTTGGCCTGATTGTAAGGATGGAAGCTTTTTTTCGACACTCTCAGTCTTGTTCCGGTGCTCATGCTCCAAAGTTCAAGGTACCAAGCGTCATTATCATAGGTCGTACTACCAGTGATGCTCAAGTTGCTTTGTTTGATCTGCGCTCGATGATAACCTTGATAAGTACAACCCCAGGATATCATGGGATATCTTCGCCTTTGAAGTTCACTGATCGTATTCTACTTCTCACATGATCCAGGCTATTGGTCATTTCTCGATTGGAATTGTATTTCCAGCTATCTTTCAGGTTCGTGAAGAGCAAGGCGGATGTCGGTCACATCTCGCTCCATCTTTGACTGTGGTTTCGCAGTTGCATCCTCCGCTGTGATGGCATACGATTGGGGTGAGCGAGATTCTTGTCTTCAAGGGGATTGTTTATTGATAACTTCACGGGGGTTCAAACCTTGACATCTGGACAAGAGGTTAATAAGTTAACACGTTTTATCAGTATGTTATAACAGGTCGAACGGGTCTAGTCGAGCAAATGTCCAATCAAGAACACAGTGACATAAATGTTGGTCTTAATATTCGTTTATGTTGTGTTATGACCACAGTTGACAAGTTGTGCTGATTTTTCAATATGCTAGGTGTACTACGTTGGACTATCATATGGTGTGTGCGTATGGTTTGCAGTGTTATCCAGTAGATGTCATTGTACCGTGCTACTAAACCAACTCTCGTCATTAGTGCGTCAGCACGCTATGTATGTATCCCAAAATATACTGTGTTCGTGCCCGAGCCTCTGACCAGTGACATGCAGGGTATCTCAATTAAGTGTCGGTGACAAACACAATGGGTATTCTGTAGATACTCAACCATTAATTGAAGCCCCGTACAGGGGCGAGTGTCATTTTATCGCGGTTTGTTGGTTCAAGCACTTATGGAGTCTTTTGAGTAACCTGTGTTTGCACGTGCTATCCTTCGGTTTGTGTTGGTATGGACCACTGCCGTCGTCAGTGCAATGTTGGACGGTGAGGTTTTCGACTGTGGTATCTCACTAATATTTGAGTTGATTGCAACTAGGTTGAACTAGCGTTCCAGGGGGTAAGCTTTTTGCTGCAAGCATTGCCAAGCATACAAGACTAATGCAGTTAAAGCTGCGCACCTGCCATCAGTAAACCGGTGAGCCATCAATGCTCCAATATTTTGTAAGCTGAAATGCGCTTACCTGTACAACCGCGAAGTTCGAAGCTTACTTTCCGGTCACGACAGTCAGTATTGAATTTCCCACTGGCACCACAATTTGCTACCTTGAGCAATTACTACATGGACTTGCTACGCCCGCCTCATCTTTACCTGGCAATATAATGAACGACGAGTAGTCCAGGGATGAACGTCTGACCCGGCGATGGTCGTCTCGAGTAGTGCACTTTTATAGTCGAGGTCATTTCTGAACGTGGGCCTTGAGTTCTTGGATGCTACCTTGCTGGGATCGTTATGCATGTCGGTTCCTCAGACAATGTACTTGAACCTTTCGCCAGGCCCGCGGGGAATACTCGTTATGAGTCTGGAAGCATTCATCGACGTACACTTCGCCTGATGCAAATGCCAGTCCTCATGACAATGACTAGGCAGAAAATGCAAGGGGACGGTGAGCCAATGATAGATATTGATAAAGATGTGCACGAGCCTTTGACAGCATTGCAGGAGCTACCAGCACAATTTGTAACTATGGGTTTTTTCATTCAGGCTGACGTTAATGCTACTCCATCACATGCAGGGCCTGCGTGACGATCTGCGTGCATGATCGTATGGTCAAGAACCCACCAAAGACTTCGCAAAGGGACGGTAGCCCATGCGGCCCGATTGAAGGAAACAACTATGTATGTAGTATCTTATGTATTCACCATCGCCCTGCTTTAGGACCGCCTACGATCAGATGCGTGGTGGAGAATGTGTTTCTCAATGGCAAATTAGAGGGTTGGCTTACCGGGTCACCTGAAATAACAATCCGTTTAATTACATGACCTATAGCCTGAAATACGAATATCCTTCCACTTGGTCTAGGTAGGAAGGCTGATACTAAGCAAACGCGCCGTAAATCATACAAGTCCACCACCACCCATCCTAACAGTATCCAAAATTGCCCTCACTAACTCATTCCATAACCTTCTCACAATCGAATCGCCACGAGCTTCCAATAACCTCCTCCGTACCAGGTCTGCAGGTGTCTCCAAGCGCCGCCTCCTCCTGAGAATCAGAGACAGAAAGGGAATTAGGAAGAACAAAATCGATAGAGCTGCTAGTCTGGTTGTGGTGAAATAGTGGTTGAAATAAGATCGGATGAGTGCCAGGGAGGTTGGGGGCTGTACAGTTGCGAGACTGTGGTCGACTGGTGGAAGGCGGGAGATGTAAACGCCACTGGTGCTTGAACTTCCTCGGGGCATGCTTTGGTTGTGGCGGTGGCGAGGGGATCTGGTTACCGTGACATCTGAAACTGCAGAGGTGGAACACGCGGATTGTTGGCGGGTAAGTTTTGGACGGGGGGATGCTGGGACTGCGGTGCGGGTGGATGTGGTGGATAGGGAGGAGGAAGAAGATGCTGGGGATAGAGAACGGAGTGGAGGTATTGGTGTAGGGGAGGGAGGAATCTCACGTTTTGGCGTTTCCCGCTTTTTATACTCTAGCGCTTCAGCATGTTGAACCTCGAGGGCCAAGTAAAGTTCCTGGCAATATCGTGTTCAGTACGACACAAAGGTCACGAAATTGAACTTACGCGTCTTTTATCAGATGAGAGTTCATTCTCGTATGACAGAAATTCTTTTACATATTCCCACTCGCCCAAACGAGGCAAGACATGCAAGCAGTAGAGTTCTAGAACTTTGTGATAGGGTTCACCTGTGGAAGGTACAAAATCACATTGACCGCGTTTCGACAACCAGTCCTCTGTGATCTCGCGACCAATATTTGGGCAATCTATCTTGATGCTGGACGCGACGAGCGTGATGACGACTTGGTGAGGTAGGAATGCGGAACTAGGTTTTCGATACAGTGATGAAGGAGTAAATAAAATAAGAGATCGAGCATACAAAGTGGAAAGAAATGACTGAGGAGGTAAGAGTAGGGTTTCTCGGAGTGGTTGTGGTAAATCAGCGAGGTCTGGAGTAGAAGAGAAAACGGTGGTCTCGAGGGTAATGCGAAGGATGTCCCACTTTCTCCGGTGGACATCTAGGGAATCAGGTGAGGGCGTGAGAGGAGGTGGAAGGAGCGCGAATGCAGCGCTTAACAATGTGAACGTGATTGCGACGTCTCGGTGAAGGAATGCTCTCGCCGCACGGTTGTATAGTGATTGTAGCGTTGCCTCCGTTGACGAGGAACCTTTGTTGGGCGGTTTATGAAGTAGCATATCCGACGTCGAGACAGTTGCCGTTCCCATCGACGTCGTAGCTGTCGGCATCGGCGGACTCAGCCTAAAGCTGACACTAGCAGTAGTCAGAGGCTAGAGCTTTTATAGATCTGGCTTCAAAGCAGTCGTCGTTCCAGTTAAACAGCCTCGAATCGTCAGTTGGTGCGAACTATGACCAATGAGACTACACAAGCTGGCAACTTGAAGTGACCGACAAGCGGGATGATATTCAAATCACGTGTCACGACATTAATTGAGTTAGCTGTTTTACTGCAAACCCTAACCCTAGCGTGACATCCGATATCCGACATTTGACCTTGAACGCGTCAGCTACAAACGACCGCGTTAAGCATCCAATATCTGTTCACTTCGTTTACCCACATCATGGTATGTACATAGTCTATGCCCTTCGTTATCTTTTTATTAACGATTTCTTAGTTTCGGAATACATACGACTCTGATAACACCGTATTCTCGCCACAAGGCCGTCTTCATCAGGTCGAGTATGCACTCGAAGCCGTGAAACAGGGATCAGCAGCAGTGGGCCTGCGATCGAAGACCCATGCGATTCTCCTTGCTCTCAAGGTTAGTGGATCCTAATTACATTACGATAGTTCTTCACAAAGAGTCCATACAGCGTTCCACAGGAGAACTCGCTTCATACCAGCAAAAGATGTTCCGCATAGATGATCACGTCGGCATCGCCATTGCTGGTCTTACTTCAGACGCACGGGTACTCAGGTGTTTATTGAGTTTTACGGAGTACATCATGCATTCTGACTTGATTGCAGCAACTTTATGCGACAGCAAGCAATGGGAGAACGTATGATATTCAACAGACCTATGCCAGTGAATCGTCTCGTCTCTTCCATCGCCGATAGTGTGTATTCGCGTGGCTGTTGCATGGCTGATGCTCATGTTGTTGCATGTAGAGGCGCAAGTGAACACGCAGGAGTATGGTCGCAGACCATACGGTGTTGGTTTCCTCGTCATTGGTCAAGATCAATCAGGACCCCATCTTTTTGAGTTCTCGCCATCAGGAAACATGTATGAGTATTATGCCATGTCGATCGGCGCTCGCAGTCAAAGCGCAAAAACCTACTTGGAGAAGCATTATGAAAGTTTCGCAGATTGTATGTGCCGTGTCCATCTTACACTGTCTTCATACCATTGAAGCTATTTCAGGCAACCTCGAGGACCTCATTCGGCATGGTCTCCATGCCCTCCGCGAAACTCTCCAACAAGACAAGGAGCTTAACGTGAATAACACGTCGGTAGGCATTATCGGACCCATGGGCCAACACGAAAAGCCCATTTCGCCGCCAGGCAGCTTCCGCATCTTAGAGGGTGATGGCGTAGAGGTATACCTGCAGAGTATGGAGAAGAAGGAGGAAGCACCCGCGCCTGCACCCGTACCTGATGCAGCACCGGTGCCCACTGCTGATGAGGATGTACAGATGACGGGATAAACTAAGATATAATAACAGCCGCCTTTCTATTTCAATCACAAAAGCCGAAATTCGAAAGGCCCAACGACTGACAGTGAGATTCTGAAATCGTGGTTTAGTTCAGATGCATAACATGAAATAATGATAAGGGAGTGGTGATGTGTAGCTCTAAAATGTCGGGTCCTGGGTATCTTACAGGCTAGATAGAGCCTTTCGCCTGCATCCCAGCTTTCCTCCACGCCTGCGCAGCTAAGCCTGGCCTACGCAACGATACGAGTAAGTGCACCATCGTGCTCAGGAGAGCAATGCTTCCCGCCTGATGAGCAGCAGCGATTGGTACAGGAACAAGATATAATAATGTTGCAAGACCCAGAAGAACCTGTACATTTGCCATGTAAAAGGCTGCCGTAACAGATTTGCGTGCAAGCGGTGGCAACAGCGCACGGATGGCGGGTCGCCGACTGTAAGCGAAGAGCAGACAAGTGCTGAGATACGTAGTCATCGCCTGTAATTAAACACTTAGAAAAATACAATATAGGAAAGAACGAAACATACAAGAACTCGATGATCGAACTGAACTGTAATGGGATTCTCAAAGATATTTCTCCACCAGATGTCAGATCCATCGGCATTCTTTGCATAAGCGAACGAGAATAATTCATTCATGGGAGGTGCAAGCCGACCCCCCATGAGCGGAAATTCGTTGTACAATAGACCAGCATCCAGCCCAGCAACGAATGCGCCTGCACATAGATTGTAATTACATTAAATTGAAAGCAGAAATGAACGAACCTGATAATGCAGTCAAAAATACTAGCGCACTCAACCCTTTTGAGAATCGAGAAAACCTCCTCACAACAGGATTTGAAAGCACGTTCTGCCAATTCATAGTGCTGGACCCGCTCCACGAGCCACCTCTGGCGTATCTCCAATCTTTAATCGCCGCTAGTCCAGTTCCCAGCATCCCTGCATACAAGACCACCGCCGTTCCAAGATGAGCCGCCAGGCGGTACTGAGAGACGCGGGGTACTGCACCCGGCGTCTCCATGATGGAGTCTTCCAAGCCTGATTTCACCATATACCATCCAAGGAAACCCTGAAAACCGATTAGCAGTGCCATGCCCGTCAGTTGTATAGGCATCGAGGCAGTGAGCTTCTTCCGGAAACCAAAATAAGCCAGAGGGACCACAAATGCAATTCCAATAAGGCGCCCAAGTACGCGGTGACCCCATTCCATATAAAAGATGTTCTTGAATTCGTCGAGGGTAATGGAATGATTGAGACTGTGGTGCGTTCACGAGATGATTCAAGGGGCAGGCATAGAAATGATGCTCACAGTTTAAATTCAGGGGTAGCCTTGTACTTTTCAAATTCAACGCTCCAATCCTCCACATTCATAGGTGGAATGATGCCTGTGATGGGCTTCCATTCTGTGATGCTCAGCCCTGATTCCGTGAGACGCGTTACTCCCCCAACTACTATCACCGCAAAAACCATTGCTGATGAGAATAACAGCCAGCGCCCAACTGCTGGTGGGGCAAGCACGGGTAATCGTGATGTCTGTGCAGCACCATGAAACGCGTTCGCAGAGAAGAATCGAGGCTCAAGGGAATGAGGAGCCAGTGGCTTCTGCTGCGCGACGACCGAATAACACCTCCGGTGAAGCCATGAGTTATGTAGCGGTGAACTTGTGATTTCAGAAGCAAGGCATGACTTGGGCACTGTTCTTTTGGGGAAGTTGACTAGAGCAGTTGAAAATGTACGCGAAGCTCGTAAACCAAGATGGTGGGCTCTTGGACGCAGAAAAGCGTTCATCAAGTTCAGCTGCATAAGATGCTGCCCCGAGCCCAGTACCTGGACTGGTCAATGCGAATATTCAATGTGTGTATGTGGTACTGACCTACCAACTCTGAGAAACGAATATGTCGAAAATGACACATTGAATTTGTGCACAGCCACAACATGCTCGCCGTTCTCCCATCCACACCACCACTATGTTAACCTTAAGGAGGGGACTGGCAGCGTCGCGAGCCCTCCGGAGGTTTTCAACCAAGCCCCATCCGATTCCGCCAGCCAACCTCACTGAGGGAGAGAAACTGATATATGACAAATTGACCGACAAGTTTTTGCCAAGTGAGCTAGACGTGCAGGACATCTCAGGTGGGACTCTTTTGCCATTCACATAGCTTACAATTAGACTGATTGATCTTACTGATATTATCAGGAGGCTGTGGTGATTTCTATGCCATCAAAATAGCAAGTGAGGCTTTTAAAGGCCTTTCAACTTTGAACCAACATAGACTTGTAACACGAGTACTGAAACAAGAAATTGAAGGAATTCATGGGTTACAGGTCAGGCGTCGTCGTCGTCGTCGTTAATAGAGGTTCATTGACATATGATTTGATCTCCCAGGTGAAAACCATTCCACCCTCATCAGAATCATAATTTGGGCAGACAGTACTCGCTTCTTCGGACACCAATTGCATACCCGTACATACGTATACAAGGTGTTAACGGCATTTTATTTCATTTTAACCATCAAAAAAGTCGGCAGGACACCGCTACGATAATGATCGCCTCCCAAGTGACGCATGCTACACTGCTATGAAACTTTAGATATTGCACCGCCTCTCTTGGGAAGTAACGGGGTATTATAGCGGTGAGTCACTTGACAAGCCTCCTCATGACCGCTTTGTAAGAGTTAGAAGCGAGATGGCTTCGCGATTGTAAATTTCGCGATTTGGGTCGTCCAACACCTTGTAAACATTTGTTATCAGATTCGAGAAGCCAGAGAAGTTCATACCTCTGCCCAACTGAACTTCTTCTTCAACATCGTGAAGAACCGTTTATCTGCCTGCAGGGCAGTGCTAGTACGAACAATTCATCAAATTACACATGAGGCTCACCTTACGTCGCTTCTTGTAACAAAATAAAATTTCTGTACTGCCACTGACGACCATATCTGATAAGGTCTGGACAAGAAGAGGGAAAGCAGGCTCAAAGTAGACACAATCTGCGGCGAGGATCAGTTCAGGAGGAGGTATGTCCGAGGGCGGCGTCTCTCCCCTGTACAAGGTCAGTTGTGCACAGCCTTAACCATGTCAAGATTATCTCACCAATTGAGTTCGCGAACGGAGACACAGGACTGCAAATTGTTCAATGACACATTTTGTTGCATGATACCCAGCAACGGGCTGGAAGAATTATAACTTCACCGAGACAGCTGGAAATAAGGGACGAACGCTTGATCGGTGATCCAGACCGTACCACCGAGTGCGCCTGCTACAAGACCAACTAGTCCCGTTCCACTCCCGATCTCGACAATCTTCTTGCCTCGAAGATACTCGATGCCTCGAAATGCGATGTAATTTGATAGAACCTGTATTACATCAAATGTCTCGTTCTGGCATGCAAGACAAGAGAACCTACCTCACCAGCGGGCCAAGCAATGCCGCCACAACCATGAGATGCATCAACCTTGAGTGATATCGACACAAGCGGGGACTCCGCAGGAAATGTCAGTCTGATCGTCTCACCGAGGATAGATCGCGGCTGCGAAGGTACGACGACCGTATCTTCGTCATCTCGAGCGAAGCCGTTGGCATCGGTCCTGAGATGTCGCAAGGGATCTAATATGTCGAGGGCCTCGTCTAAAGCAATCTCATTTAAACTCGCTACTGGTTCAGGTAGATTGTCGAATAGTAGCGGTGGGGGTTGGGTTACAGCCATTAGTACAGATAATACGTCAAGTGAGTTATTCGACTGTGATTTGAACCTTAAGCTTGACTGGGCGAACGTTATGACAAGATCGTCACGTGGAATGATTACTCAAGTTTAGTTTCCCGCGGCCCTGCTGTTTTTGGAAAACGGTGAACATATGTCGGTCAACGGTTGACCACCAAGACTATCCGGTGAACATGGAGCTGCTAATTAGGGCCACCGTCATGCAGCAGCTGACGATGAACATCTTCCTCGAACTTCCTGCAACGTTCAAATCCGCTCGCTGTCCACTTTGATGACCGGACTCACGAGAACAGACCAAAGTTAGCAATCTACACACACGATCATCATCAAGGAACCAATGTGATTAGCATCACCGCACGAAACCACGCGACTATAACCCATTGATCACAGGTCGGTGTTACGCCAGTGCCGCAACCACTAGACAATTTGGGAGTCACTTCGGCAAGATGCGCTTCCTCAACGGCTTGGCTAAAGCACTTATTGACGCCTCTTTTGATAAAGCTATATAGCTTTTCGATTCTCTTCATTCCCGCTTTCATGTCATCTGCAGCGATGCAGTCACCTCATGCAGATCATCTCGCACCTCTCCCTGTATTTTCTCGGCGGAAGACACCTAGGTTACGGGGACCACGCCCATGCAGCTGGCTTCAAACGGGGATAACAACAAGAGAAGAAATTGGAGAGAGCTGGTCATGGGCAAATCGCCAGGCCAACCTGTCCAGAGCATCAACAATGTGCTCTCGCACCTCTAGCGACTCTGCTTCATCCAATCAGTCCAGCATCACTTCCTCGTCTTCGTCTTCGTCATATATTGATGATACACAGAGTTCGCCATGCGACACGTCGTCGCGCAGACATAAACGTCACTCCCAACGGCAGAGACCATCGGGTCCACGCCCTCCCTCCTGTCCGCATTCTCCTAGTTCTTCTGTGCGACATGCACTTTCTATCACTACATCACCATCACCATCACCCCCCATTCCGCTCGAGGATTCTGTCCTTTCCCTGCCCCTGGCAGATTTCCCACATATAGCACCGACTGAACCTACGACTCCCGTACCTCTATTACCTCCAGCGATTGCGTTTTCACCTTCAGATATACTTGATTGGGACGCAATATTTGAGGTATTGGCTTTGGAAAGCATCCCATAATTTGAGCTTGGAGCTACCTGTTCATTACCAGCATTGCAAGGACTAGCAAAAGGACTGATTGCTTCGTTGGACAGCAGTCTAGACCACAGATTTCTCGTACCCACTTGTAGCATACTCACACTTTCATTGACACACGGACATTCCATTCTACGATATCATCCATTAGTTTTTCTCGCAATTTAATAGGTGGTTCGTGGTGCTTATTCAGTCATATGATCTCTTCTCTACGTTCCTTTGACGAGAACGTGGGTGTTAACTAACATCTGTATCGACACGTAAATCAAAAAGGAACGATCACGGTCGTCTCGTTATTGGTGTGCCTACCGGGAGACAAAGAACTTACGAAACATGATGCTGTTAATAATGTATGAACAAAGGGATTCTTGTCCTGGACCAACTATAGCTATAGTACCATAGTAGTTACTAGCAGCTCATGGCTTCGCCACTAGATTGAATATATTACAACACAAACAATTGAACTTAAGCTTGACTTAAGCGAGTCAGGGAAAACAGTGGGCGCCGCAGCGAGTGGTGCTGCGCCCAGTATTTCAATCCCCATGCTGTAAATGCCTGATGCTCAGGAATTGCAGCGTGCAACGTCTGTTTCAGTGCTATCCGTGGTATCGCCGCTCGATTGGATATATAACTCACCATGGTCAGTTGAAAGCGAAGATATTAGAGTGCATGGCAGATGCTGGGCGCAGCTAGCATCTGTCCTGGGCCCCTGCTGCGAGTCAGATGAGAATGTGGCCAGTGGAAGTGCAGGTGTGTCTCCTACAGTGCTGTTGATCTGCTATTCATAAATTAACATAGGACCATACAACAATATGGATCATATGTGAGAGGCCTTGAGTTGCGAGCCCTGAAGGTGAGGACACCATGAGGTGTATCGGGGTCATGGACCGCCGGGGATGTCCGAGAGGTAGGTGACTGTAAGAGGTGGGATTCAAATTTTACAAATAAATATGGGATACAGGAGACGTGCGAGAGCATAGTCACGGTACCAGCGAGAGATGTTCAAGCTATGTAACGAGTTGAAGCGATATGCGCGACGCGCAGTGAGAGTGGCGGTGCCACCTGACTCAAAGCGCTGAGTTGTGATTGGCTGGCTGCTATGACTTGACTTGCAAGCTAAACGCATGCGGCCCTTGTAGTCATTAGGCTCGGGAACAATTAGTCTCAGCAAAGTTAATAAAATGATAAGATGGAGACAGGGGAAAGTGCCCAGACTCTAAAGAATAAAATGATGAGCAGTCTGGCACTGTACACTGGAAATTGAATTATATATTTGATACCAAGCCACAGAACGAAAGTTGTTTGATGGCAAAGATGTTATTGGTACTTGATTATAGACATTGTTGTGTACATACCAAGTACACAGAGTAGCCATTGGAATCAGACTGCGGCAGGTCCCCCCACCCCCAGTTAGAAGCTCTTGCGCGCAGCTTCATAGTAGACTTGGAATCATAGCAACTGCGCACTGGCACGAAGTGTCAGTGTGAAAATGGCTCACCACCGAGATACGTACAAACCTGCAGGCTTGGGCCACAATCGCTATTCTGAGATACCACTGGAATGCAGTTTAGCACAGTCCAGGTGGAGTTTCACTGCCCTGTATCCGAGACTGTTACATATATATAGCCTTTATGACTCATCAGCACATATGTACTATTGAACGCCACTCCTAAGGAGTACTTACTGGAAAAACTATCAGCCATCAAGCTAATGCTGAGTTGTTCTTGATGCTGCGGTGGATAGGAGACTACGGTCACGGTAACTCATTGAATAGACCTCCTCTGACAGTTTTCTGTAAAACACTTCACAGAAATGACGCGACTGTCATGACATTAAAGCGTTCACAGCATGTGAGCAGTTTCATTGAATGTGCGAGAAATAAATGCCATAGAGCGACTGTGACCAGGAGTTGGTTGGGATATGATAAAGAGGGGGAAACTTTCTTCCTCCTATTTTTCCAGCTATGTAGACCTAGGGGGAAATGCGCCTTTCATACCACTAGGAACTCGTGTACTTGGTGGAATCCATCAGTTGGTACTTGGCTTTCAAGCCAGTCGGGACTTGACAAATTTTTTGAAGTCACGTGTCACTTCATGATCCGGATTCCGTGCTTTTACGTTTTGCCCACTAGTACCACCTCTTCCTTTTTTCAAGCTCAAGGTTTGGCGTCCGATTCACGCTAGAGAGACTGCTAAGCTACGTTTGACTTAGTTTTCCCGGCTTTTATAGGATCATAATAAGCATTATTTTATTTCACGAAAACGAATCTTTTACGTGGCGGAATCCATCCTCAACTTTTGGCGCTTGGCATCGCATATATCGTGGACCGTGGTGCACAGGAGTTGCCATCATCATCATCATCGTGTTTTCCTGAAGCTTGTTGGAGACAATTAGCTCTGAACCTTCGTACTTCTGCCTCGTGGCTTCATTCAACACCGCCAAGAGCCTCGAGGCATCCTTCTGATACACTCCTGAAACAGATCATGATGAATTTTTCGGTCCCTCGTCATATTTAATGTGTTGGCGTCATTGGAATTCACTGCTTCTTGAACTATTTCCTCCTTCTCCGAGAATGGAAGAGGTGTACTGGGACCTGGGTTGATAAGAGGGAGCGGGATGGCGCGTCCACATGCACGTATCGTATTCGATCGATAAGATCTATGCACAGGACCCCAACGTTTTGGATCAAACATACCATATATGCAAAGTCAATGGTATATTCTAAGCCATTCTTGCAAAAATGGTGAGTTCTTGCATTGCCAATCTCGTCAAATCCAGCAATTCTTTTAGACGCCCGAGGTATGCTGATCATTGGAATGTGTCTCCTAGCAGGGTTTTGGGTCCCGGGTAAGCTGTCTGTTATCGAGTGTCTTGCGAGCATCGCTGCCCTGATCGTCCTTAACTTTTGCGAAATAAGTCACACAAGTGCTGCTAGAAGAAGTCATGGATTTCTGCACAAGCCTCGTCCGGCTTAGTTCTCCTTACAGTAAGTCATCGGGATCCAGATGCTTGAGATTGGAACAGTATCGTTCCATCCCTTTGGATTTTTATGCCTTATTTTTCTCTTTTATGTTCCATAACTCTGATCATATTGCAGCCACGGACTCACTGTCCGCAACTTTTTGATATTAACTCCAAACAACCTCTCCCTCTATCACAGTATACTAACATCTGATCGCAACCCAATATAACCGACAAATCATCTCTCCATAATCACAACCATGGTTTATCATGCATACATTGATAACGTGAGTGCAAGTTCTACTCTTCGATGTCTGCGATACCGCACTAAATCTTCTTCTAGATCAAAGACAGTTGCATGCGATACATCGCTGTCTTCGCCAGCCGTGCAGTTGCGGACGAGTGGTGGCGTGCCGTATCCACTTCCGCTAATACGAAGTACTCGGACAGTATCAGGCGTGTTGCCCCCCAGTTCTTCATTCACGACAACAGCAAAGCCGACCCTGCCTCCTACATCACTGACAGCCAAGTTGCTTCTGGTTTCTTTGGCAAAGTGTTTTTCACGCGGCTGCCAAGTAATGTAGGATTGAGCGTCATTCCGATTCTAGATCTTGTGGATCATGTTAGCGGGAACTTGTGAGCCGTTTTGTTGCATGTCGTCTCATAACTAGTCAATAACGTGTTAAAGATTTTTCATCCGCTCCAAGGTCTCTCCTAACGAGTACTGGTACTGTCCTGGATCGTCGACAGGCAACGTCACACCTAACTCCAAAGTCTATGTGTCACGTACTGAGCGGACCCGCTTCCGCGTCCGCCTCATCGACGAGCGCAAGGACACTACTGGAACCATTATGATTGGATCTGACGAGATCGCTATCACCTTAGCTTCTACCAATCTATCCATCAGAGTATCTCGCAGCGCCCATTTGATCGTTTCGAAAAGCCCTGAGCTAGGGCTGAAGTTCAGTGACCTTCAGAACGGATTCGGGGTGGTGACTTCCTTCCTGGACAACGAGGGTCATGGCGAGAATGTCAAGGAACTCTTGAGGACGGATGATGGGGAAGAGTGGGTCCTCGCTTGAACTGGTATCATGTGAGGATGACAAAACACTTGCATATGAACGCGATGTTGGCTTTTACTTTTATAATAGAAGCTACGTCAACTCATTCTGCAACCACAAAAGCATACAGATTACGTTACCTGCTAGATATTGTGGATCTTTCTGGCAGCCATAATGTTGGGATGCTAACAGCAAACATATGGCTTAACTAACGGGATTTCGAACAACTCGACTCTATTCACGCAAAATATAAATACACTCAGGTGAGAAACTCATAGCATGGTCACTCGCAGGCATTCCAGCACTGGGCGGCTGTTGGTCAAGTCTGACGTGGCGCATCGAAGTGCTGGGTGGACTGTTGATGATCATGATGGCGTGGAAGTAGTCAGGGTTGAAACTTGCACTGATGCTACAGACAGATGTCATATGGGCGCGCTGTCCACCGTTGAATTTAATGGCAGGAGGAATGTTGTCAAACCACTTATATAGTTTGGAGCGCCACACGCCACCGCTCAAAGGACTGGTGGTGAGTGGTAATGACAAGTTTTGACTGTCACTAGTAGAGTGCTGATCACTCGATCGATGCCACACTGCTATGACATCTGCATCCATCTTTCCTCGGACGCGTCGTGCCGAGCCAGGCCCGGGTGCGTTTAGGCGCCTCAGATATGATAGGAATGATGACACAATTTTTTGGCCAATCAATTGATCACAAAGATCAGCAGACAGACAAAGACAGAGCCAAATTGTGGTATGGTCTGGACAGGGTTCGCGCAGCAGTGTGCACTAGGTAACTATACCACTATGTTGGTATTACTCCTAACGATATTATCAAGTGGCCGTGACAGGCTACAGTAGATATGCACGGACGATCGGTACGTGTCTTCCTTGTCTGTTTCTGATTCTTCCGATAATGTCCCTCATAGTAATGATAGAAGACACGTGCCCTATACGGAATAGCTCAACCGAAATCTTAGTCAAAACCCGAAGCCACTGCGCGCGTGTTGTTTCATTTCAAGTTTTTTTCTACTGTTCTGGCTCCCCAAAGATGGCTCTCTATGTTTGGCATTCTGCCTCAGATTACGATGAACGGGGCTCGCGACGATCCTTTATTGCTCTTCAAAGGAAGACCACGCCGCGCCAAGATGAAAGGCAAAGAGTCTAAGTTGAGGCATGCTACGGAGGACGGGCGACCTGGACCAGCCTGAGATTCGAATGTTTTAATTCTGATACTCTCCGATGTAAAGCTACCATAATTAATTTCAAGGTTGTTGTATTTGTGGATTTTGTCCGTCCTCCACGTAGCTTTGTTACTTTCGCGTTGATTCCGCCGTCGATCTGGTCGTAAGATCAGCCAGTCACGAAAGTTGAACATATACCAGAAAGCTGGATAATAGACCCGGCCGGACCCAGCCGGGACTGAGCCGTCCATTTCCAAATACCCAATCTTTCTTGAGTGTTCCGCAAAGTTCCAACGTTCCGCTGCTTGTCGTGTACACGAAATACACTTGCCTAAACTTGAGCAGGGAACACGCCTCGGCCACGTTAAACTAGCCAATGCTACTCTTATTTTGAGGAATTGAAGAGTATAGCATTCGTACAGGATCCGCCACCATCAAAACTGACGACCGTGACTGTCCATGTGTTGACCTTGAGGCTCGGAGTCTTAGGACAGTTTGAGGCTCTTCAAAACGCCTTCAGTGCTGTAGCGTCATGGCTCCACCGTGCCTCCACACGAACTGGATCAAAGCCAACCCCAGATTTTCATCTCAGCTTGTATCTTCGGTGGTGATCTGAACTATCGGCGCCCTCTTTTCGGTCATGCACGAGGCCAGGTACAGTGAACTTTCGATGCCGCGGCCAGGTCTTGGTGCAATCAACCAGAACTCAGTTTGAATTGTACCAATATTCCAATCCGGACCTATGATAATTCCTATCTTCCCACCACCCTCGAGGTATTGTTGCACAAGCTTACGAAATTACTTAAAGCCACTCCAGTATAAAAGTCTCTCCCATTTTGCTCCCTGAGACTCCACTTCATCAGCGCTTCCTTTATTGTTGTTACGAACATGGCATACTCCCCATACGATGCCTATGATACCTACGATGACTACGACTCCTACAACCGCCCTCGCAAATCATCGTTTGGATATGGCAGAGCATCAACTCCTCTCGGTGGCTACCCTTACGATTCACGGCTGGGGGCAACGTACAGTGAGCCAATGATGCGCGGAGAGGTACCACAATACTTATCCATGTTCATTGTCATTTGCTAATATTTAATTCTGAAAGCGCTACTCTTCGTCCTACCCGATGTACCCATCCACACCCAACCACCGCAGCATATACCGCACACCAAATCACAGCTCACATTATCTACGTAAGTGCTGGAGTAATCTGGATGCATTCAGACAGGCTCTGACCTTTACCAGCGTATGATGATATGGACTACCGTTCTGGAACTCCTGGTCTCTATCCGCCTGTCGTGCAACCCTTAGCACTGGGTAGACCACGTCGGGCATCATCGGTATCTTACACGTCAAGGCCGCCAGCATTTGGAGACCCGTTCCGCAGAAATAGCCCCCCTCAAGTCAAATTCAAACGCAAGGGTGCCTTCCGGGGCGGTATCACCCTTGGTGAAGCACAAGCCAATGTTCGATTGGCTGGATATGACTCATATACTTTCAATGACCTCGGAGTTGATCACCGAGGCAAGATCTATGTGAAGATCTCGGTGAGTACGGCGACATACATCTGTTCTCTGAGACTAATGCCTAAAAATTATCCATCTCAGTGGCCTGGATATTCACCACTCAATTATGAGATACCTGTTGATGGCTATGGGGGTCTCATTGACCTTCAATCGTTGACGCGCAGAATCGGACGTGCGGTTGCACATTACCTTCAGGTGATTAATCAATTGCATCTACTTGATATAGAAGTTTCTCATGCATATGTACATAGGCCAACATCATCCCTATACCATGGGACCGTATCGAGCTATCACACATGGAAGAAGTCAGCATGGGTACATGGCATCTCAAGATGACAACAAATTGAATGATGTCCCGTCCTGTGCGTAGCCGCCAGAAGCGAGAAACTCTCAGCGTACTTTATTATATATCTTTCAAGTCCTTGATAATCTATTCATACTGCAGCTACACTCGTGGATGCCTGGTGTATCGTCATCTCTGCGCCCTTCGAGCCGTGCTCAGTTGTACAAGAGGTCAAAACATGTGTGTATCATATTACGTCACGAATCTTACGAACTTTTACGAGGTGTCGTCTATGTATTGGAAGGGAATGCATGTTATATGCCATCAACACTACCAAATGCAACAAGCTATGTCTATGCAGTTACAGAAGTGGCGATCGTCGCTTCCGCCTGCTGTTGGACTCTCCCTTCTGACGACGAGGCGAGGTGCGAATACCAAGGGCCCGTTTCACTTTAGTCATGAAGGGTAAGTGGGTATCCCTGTCCCTTCCCTATCACAAAATGTGACAACAAGCAACGGAAATGAAGTTACGTAGACTAACCATGACACGAGATTCTTGCTTCGCATGCTTCCTGCCTTGTCTGGATGTTCTGGGATTGGAAGGTGCAGCGTCTGTAGAAGGGCCACGGGCACATTAAACTCGGCAGATGTCGGTAATTGCCTACGTGACCAACTTACTGTATCCCCTGGTCACTCTGTTCTTGTCTCTACTAAAGAAGTGCGATGCGCCATTCTGTTCATGGTTTCTCTGGAAAGGATTCATATTGATCGAAATTGATAGAGGGCAAAGGGTCACGGTTAACTCTTGCGAAACTTATGGGATGTAGTTGTTATGTATCATTCTGAAGCTCCACCATGGAGTTGTCTATGGTGGATAAGTGGAACTTTCATCGTCATGATATCCCTCGGTGAAGTGGTGTGCGCCTGACGCCCGTGGGGCTCAGGGCCATGCTGCGACTGCGGCCGATACCGTGCCAGAACTTACGACTTATTTGTGCTTATTTGTAGTAAGAATGATTTCATAAATCTGTTCTGATCGCTTATGGCAGGATAATTCGAGAAACCGCGGCGATTTCTGCATGTTGTCAGATGAGGATACAACCCTCGTTCATGCCGTGCAGAAGCAATATGCTTCTCTGAACCTCAAACTACCAGCCGGAACGTTCACGATTCTAGCTGCAATCGCCTTGACTTCGTCTGATTCTTCATCAGTCCAGCCAAAGATCATTGGATTAGCTACAGGGTGCAAGTGCCTTCCGAAGGACAAACTTCCCCTACAAGGCGAGGCTGTGCATGATAGCCATGCAGAAGTTCTCGCTCGCCGCTGTGCCCTTCGCTGGTTGATCGAAGAGATCAGTAGGGCGGCCTCTGCCTCTGATGGATCGCATCGTCGTTCTGCGTGGATATCGAAAATGGCAGATGATCGCTATCGTCTCAAAGACGGCGTCTACATGATCATGTACATATCGACACTTCCTTGTGAGAAGCACTGGCCTTGTATGTTGCGCGTGTCTCATTTCAATCGATCGATCAATTTCAAGGCGGAGACGCTTCTATGCGGTTCCTCGCTACCTTCCAAGATGAGGAAATGGCAGCGTTGAAGGACTCTGCGGTGTTCCCTCCTTTAGCCCCCAATGTCGCGTCCAGAGGGCGGGATAATTACTCCCTTCTTGGCGTTCTCCGTACGAAGCCTGGGCGTGCTGACTCTCCTCAGACGTTGTCGTTGTCTTGCAGCGACAAAATAGCACGCTGGAACGTACTTGGGATACAAGGGGCTTTGGGCTCTGCCTTTTTTCACCCGATCTACTTGAAAAAGATAATCATCGGCGAAGTCCCGCCAGATCTGCACGACGTCGTAAAGTCTGATTGTGAACGAGCGCTCTGGGGACGTCTGCAAGGAATTTATGGTACATATATTGTTCGATTATAAGATAATACTTACAATCGTGGCATATCTTACACAGGCCTTCCAGAGGGATACGAATTGAATCGGCCGGAAATCCAGTTTACGTCGATTGGGTTCGTCCATTCAAGGTCGGCGCAAGAGCATTCTTCTCTTGCTCAAAGATCGTGCAATGAATGTAAATATATATAATCCTTGATACCTTGCGCCATCTCACTCAATTTGTTTACCATCAGCTTTGACTTGGGTCGCGGACTCTACATCACCATATGAGGTTCTGATAAATGGCCTCAAACGAGGCGTCTCTCCAAAACATCGCCACAAGTCGATCTTCTGGTAAGCGGTTGATCAACTTTTCTGCAAGCTGTCTTATGCAACATTTTGGCAATCCAAAGGCCCACGCTCTCAAAAGTCTCCTTGTTTCACCTATACAGAGAGACGAGAAGCATAGAGAACCTGCCGCTTGAAAGGTAAGGATACAGGACAACCAGGGGCAATTTCCAGTACTCACAATTTGTTATGTAGTAAAACGATGTCGTATTATCAAGCAAAGGAGAGCATGACCCAGTATCAGATGGCAAAAAACTGTTTGCTAGGTGAAGGTCGGCCTTTTTCAGGGTGGATTCGAAGTGGAGCTCGATGGGAGAACTTCAGTTCTAGTAGCGACAACCGACAACAAAGTACTGATATTACGAATTAGACACCAAGAAAGAAAAGCAACGAAAGCGCATGAAATTAAGTGTAATACAACGTGATAGATAGCTAGGGTATATATTAAGAAGCATAGCGAATTGCGATGTGTGGCGTTCGAAGGCGTTTCCAAAACATCCAGAGATACAAAGAAACCGGGCAACCGTTGGCATTATGCCTATAGATCCTTGTCCTTATCAGGGGATTCCGCTTCTGCGAGTAGTTCGTCAAGGGAGGTAGCTGGTAACGGCTCGAGCAATAATAATGGAGTTCCGCCAAGCGATTCACCATCTGTAAATGTGGGGCTTGATCTGCCAGAGCGACTGTTGGTATTGTTATTACTGCTTTCCGCAAGCTCCTTTCGGAGTGCCTCTAATTCGCGTTCGAACCTTCAAAGGAAAAAGATCAGATTCCTGTGCAGGGACCTAGAGTTGAGGATGCTTACTTGCGACCGAATACTTCGATGTAGTATCCGCCACCGTTCCAGACGCTTACAGAGAATATAAACATAAGAAATACTCCACTCCACACAGGGCTATCATAAAACAAGTACACCGCAGGTAGTTCCGTAAGGAGAGCGTATACTGAAGGAAAATTAGCATCGCTGAGTCATAGCATTGAACTTTACACACCAAGTTGCCCCGTCATGAATGAACCTTCACGGTACTGTGGAGGGACTGTCGACAAAGCTCGCCCGATGGCGCCGCGCTTGTCATTCAAAAGGAAAGAAAACGACGTCGTTCGTTGGCCAGATTCGATCTTGCTTCGACGATCTACTAGTACAAATTTCCAGTACATCAACTGCCAACAGATATCTAGATGAATAGTTATGTCCAGTCGTCAAGATCATCAACATGAAGCTTACATATAGCACCGCTCATAAAGAGAGCGCGGACTGGATCGAGGTATGGGAGTGCCTTGAGCGCAGGGAATCTGTCTTCTGCATTCGGATAGAAGTGCCTGTCCATAGTGATGAATGATTGGATAGAGAATACAAACTGTAACCGACCGGATCACCGTGAATGTAAAAGGCGCGTATATATGCACGAATAACGACGTGACTTTATCCGTGTCATGAAAAACAAGACTGTTTCTCCAAGTAATGACAGCACTGGCGAGCGAGCCGTGTGATAAACTGTAGCAAGCTATGAACAGTGCTGTATTTGATGGGAAGAACCATATGTAGACAACGTTGAGAATGGTGACGTAGTAGCAGAGGTCGAAAAGGAAATAATGCCATGACCGCTTCTTGTATTGGTAGGCACGAAGAGGAAGGAGATACAAGCCCTGGACTGTATATGCTATATGGATCCATCTGCATGCAAGACGTCAGTTACCACCAAACACAAGGAACTCCTAAGGGTGCGTACTGTGGAGCCAAGCCAAAGAGCAACGCCGATACGAGGAGGGACATGACACTGAAGAAAAAAGACACTTTGTCGCGAGTCCTCACTACCTTGGCAGAATGCCATGATTCCACCAAATTTTGCATACGAAGCGAAACCTGTCATCGACGCGTTAAATCACGGTAAAAGCCACAAGCTCCGAACGTACCTTCAGCTTGAAGTTTTTGACCTCGCGATCGAAATTCTCTGCCAGCACATCGCTCGATTGCACACGTTTCTTAAAAGCTTCCTCGGCTTTCGATTTTAATCTATCGCTGTGCTTCTGTATCCGTCGCTGGAGTAGGTCCAGCCGAGAGTCAAAAAATGTCTCCATTGTATCTATCGCAACAACATGTCAGATTTTGGGTGGCCTTTACAAGATGGGGCAGAAGAGTCTAGACTTGCCCAGCAAGGTAAAAGCGCCTGTTTCGTCTCTTATAAAGCGTTCGAAAGGTGCAGAAAAGTACGCCGTCCCGGTTGGTAGAGACTCCATTCTTAAAGCTGGCGACTGTGGCCTTGAAACCGCTGTGGAAGTTTGAGCTTTTGAGTCGGAATAATGGCAAGGCAGAGTGGCACTTTAAAGCAGTGGATGCATAAATGTGTGCTTACGTCACCAAAAGTAAGTTTGGCTCATGCTGAGTCTCGACCTCGTTTGGATTTGACTTCCTATGGTTAGAAGTTCGTCCACTACTTATTAACCTCCATAATAGTACTGTCGTTCCCCCGTACCTGACTTAGCAGATATCAGTGCTATTAGCTTAAAATCAACGTTGTTTTTATCCTTCGTCAGTAATGCATTTAGGCAACTCTAAATCTTAACGAGAGGTCCAGACAAACAACTCAATTTTGTTGACGAGCACCAGAACAGTATAGGTCTGTCCAGTATATAGAATTCAAGATGCAATCGGGATAGGGAATGCGGTGCAATGCTCTATGTAAGTTACAGCAATAGCTCACATCAATGAAAGGTCGCCAAACTTCTCTTTGTAACCTGAAAGCATTGCTCAAGCGAGATGAAACATGACACAATTGGATGGACATACCAGGTACAGTCCATTTGCCTTTCTTAACCATGGTCTCGACGGCTTCCAGTATCCGTGGGTGGGCGTTACCGACGTCCTCCACCTAAGCAAACAAGCAAACAAAATCAGAATAGATTCCAAGATCAAAAAGAGAACACGTACCGTCAAGTCTTCGAACGGACGAGCCTCTTCGATGTTAGCAAGTGTTGCTTGTAACTCCTTGAGTTCCACGTCAATCTGGGCGGCGGTCGCTTGAGCTTTCTCAACCTGCATTAATCGTCAAGATAAAAACACTCAGACACGGTACTGCAACCTCGAGCGCATAGAGGACATACCGCCTTGGCCTCAAAAGTTTCGATGGCTTTGACGTGGGCAGATACGTCGTACGTAACAACCTTGAAGTCTTTCAACAGCTTCTCAGCCTCGTCGACAATTGCCTTGTTCTTGAGGACAGAGCGATAGTGTGCGAGGTCAACGGTCGTGGGTTGAGATGCATATTGGGACTGGATGCGTTGAGCATCCCCATGCCGTTTGCGGAATGCCTGCAGAGCAGCGATGGTATCTGCAAACACAAAACCTCTATCAGTCCAGCTATACCTTTTACGAGTTGAAATTCATGCCTTTTCCGAGCCCAAGTGTCGAGTAAATGCGGGTGAAGTCCTGCCAACGGGGAAACGAGGATGAGTGATTGATGAGCGCGACCGAGCACGAAAAAAACGAGACTTACGACCGCAGCTACTGCTGCTTTTGATGCCATGGCTTAGAGAAGGGCGGGAAGTAATGCGAGTAACTAAGAGGCACGCGTAGGCTGACCACAAGTGATAATGCTGCCAAGGACGCGAGAATAGCCTGCAACGAGCGGAGGTAAGGCCGGGAATTGCCGATCCCATTCATTCCGACTCTCGACGAAAAGTTGACACGCAAAGTTTAAGAGCGGTATACAACAATGCCTCCTTAATTTTAATTTTATTACATTTCTGTAGTCTCCTCAGCTGCTTTGCACGAAGGTTCTGTTCCGAATCACTGTATTTAGATTTCCTGGAAGACAGAGATGAACCGATTTCGCAGGGATAGTCTCGTAAAAATTTGAAAAGTTTGAAATAATTGAATGTCTCAAACATCCAGCTCACAAGTGTTTCCTTCATCATCCCACGAAGCAACAACCGACGTCAGTTTGAGATTCAAGAAGTACGCGGCCCGTTCAGATAAGGATATGCCAATCATTCTTCGCATTGATAATTATTGATAATTATATAACCGTCTTCCAATCACCTGACACCCTTATCTTGCGCCGTTGTCCTTATATAAGAACAATGCGTACGAATAACGTCCTCGACCCTTTCCTCTGGAACCGTAAGAGCAGTGGAGCTCGTGTGTGACACCAAGAGCCTGGGCTAACAACACATTTGTGAGTCAAGTAGCGCCCTTCCTTGAATTCAAATTTATGCAAATGCTCAGTGTGCATGATGGACGGGGCTGCTTCTGCCATTGCTGTCATCGAACGGTTTCGTGCTACGGGACCGTTGCCTAGCATTTTCCTTGCTGCTGCTGCGATTGTTTTGGCGTACAGTTTCATCCAGACGAGAAAAAAGGGTGTGACATCCTCGAATGCCGTTCATACGTCACTCGTGACCGATAGAAAGGCAAACAAGAATAGGGAACTGGGCGGTACGTTTTGACAATTCCGGTGCATGTGATGGCGCTCACTTTAATAGACTGGATCGCGGAGGAATTTGATTATCCCAAAATAGATCCGTGCCCCTTCCCAACGAAGGATGTGCGCCCGGTACCGTACAGACCATTCCGGTATGGTGAATATCAGTAAGTGTGCTTCACCTGTTTCTATATTTTGTCTGCGTTGCATAGCGCATGGGTCTGTGTGCTGGTGTCCGTGGCATGTGGATGCAATCCTCGAATACGATCTGTAGAATCATTTGTACTCCCTCAGCCGTTCTCATGGCTGATCGATTTTGCCGTCTCTTGCAAATGTAGAATCACGATGGGTATTCGGACGATGCCTTGGAGCGAGTGGATTGAACTAGACTCAACCTACCCACACTGGCAGCGTGTGCGCAAGTTCCGCATTCGCACGCGCGGGCATGACGCCGTGCGCGTTCTTCCCGCCAGAGAAGACGAATCGGTCAAGGTCCAAGGCGGAGCGTGGGCAGGTGTGTCATCTTCCTGAAGTGGAAGAATAGAGTCTATGCTGATAGGCCTACAGCAAAGGAGCTCGTGTATGAACTCGCAGAATATCTTCCGCGGCGATACCCTTCGAGTTTTCGAGTAACACGGTTTCCGAACGGTGTAGTGGCACCGTCGATTGGTGGCGTGTCGCTTGCTTGGGGACAGCAACAGCCCGTGCAAATTATTGAAGCGGTCGAGACAGGAGAGAAATTTGATTTAGGGGTGCTGGAAGGTCTGGACGATATTGAAATGGGCGAAGAGGCAATGAGGATTGCTGCAGGGCTGTAAGTACCGTGGTACTATATCTGACAATTCTGACCTTCTGTTAGTATACAAGACGACGTGGCACTTATGATCGAGGGTACAGGGCTGCGACGCTACCTTGGTTATTAAATCTCAAAACGTTTCTTCACACAGGCACGGATGGCAAGTACTATTTCCAGGCAGGAGCGATCTGTATTCCAGGTAAGTGCAGACGGCGAACTCGAGGATTGCTCTTAACTGACTCATCTCTTCTCAGGATTCTGGCGCATGCGGGATAAGATCGGAATGACCCTGGATGATATTCATATTTCAGGAAACGTTCCACGGTGTAAGCCTAGACCATTATGTTTTTTCTGTCCACGCTGATAACGGCGGGCGCAAAGTCAAAGAAAAATTGCAGACAAGCATGGAAAAGTTTTTCAGACGGATGCCGGTGGACAAGCCGGTTATTCGAAATAATTATTTTATGCAAGTATGTAAGCCGTCGTCGCACGTGGCAGATGGCGAACGACTGGATGTCGAGGAAGAGTGCGCTTCGGAGGTTGATCCAGAAGAATTGGGTTGGTCGGAATCGACGAACGGACGTGAGGATGAATTTTTGCATGGACATGGGCATGGTGCATCACCCGCACCGTACCTCGCGCCATCGACACTACGACTGCGATCAGAGAGGCAAACGCTGCGTCGGCTTCCTCGTACAGGAGCCATCGTTTTTGGGATTCGGACGTACTTGTTCAAGATCGAGGAATTGGCTCGGGAGCGAGGAGTGGCTGATCGGCTTGCAAGCGCCGTAAGAAGCTGGCCTGACGATGTTGGGGTATACAAGGGGCGTAAGATGTATGAAGGTATACTACTGAACTACTTAGATGAGTGCGCAGCAAGGGATGAGAATAAGGAGGAGGGACGAGGATATCCATATTGAGAATATGGTGGTTAAGGGGTGGTCATAAGGAGGAAATCATGTGAAATAATAATAATTGATTTGATAACGATAGGTGAAATAATAGTTGACTACCGGGGAAAGAATTTAGAAATGACGTGTGTCGGATCTTCTAAAAGTAGCAAATGATTGGGTTTATCGAGCGTTTATTAGAACTCCGATTCAAGTTCAATATAACACGAGACTACGTCAGACGTCGTCATTCCTCCTCTGACCTCACCTCAAGAAAAATTGAAGCAGATTACGCACGGGCCACAAGGAAACACCGGAGCAGTTGGCTTCGTGCCGAAATATTCATTTTAGCTCGACAATTCGTAAATATTGTAAAAAAGTTTGTTGACCCCGCAACCTCGTCATCATGTCCACTACTCCACCTAAAAACGGTGATACATCCAACTCCCCTGACGTCAGGCATCAACCTCCTCTTGCAAGGCAGACAAGATCTGATTTTGACCTCGAACCTAATCCATTCGAGCAGTCCTTCTCCCGTCCTTCCCATGTTCGCCATTCCCCTCCTTCCAAACGTGATTCATCTAGTCCAGTATCATCTAAATCACTTCATGACAGACCACCCTCCGCTGCGTCAAATAAAAATTCAAAGGATGGTAGGTCTGCTTCTCCAAGACCAGTACTACCCCCTTTGGCAGCCATAGCATCTCCCACTACAGATCAGACTTATGGTTGGCAATTCTCTTCATCTCTTGCAAACTCTCTTCGTGCCGGTCCTCTATCTCCTGCCATGCTAGCCGGCCCACAGCAGGGTTCAGACTCCGCCTCCCATTTGCCTTTTGACACCTCATTCCGAAGCGGATTGACACCCCGCACTGGTCTCACACCCCGCACAGGATTGACACCAGGCACCGGCCTGACACCCCTGGTAGGGGGTCCTGTCTCCTTTCCCCCTCCTTCCCCGAACACTGCCGCTTTCTTAGCGCTTATGAATAGTAATGCGGGCGCTAATTCAAACGCAACCATAACCCCAAACACTCTCAGCGCCATTACTGGTGTTCTTAACTCCTCTTCAGCCCAGTATAGCTCTGTCACCCATGCTCCCACAACTAGTTCTCACCTATCTACATCCGTCACTGCCAATCAAGAAAATGGTGATCCTCCTTACCTCACCGCATCCTCTGCCGCAAGCACGGCTGCAAATGGCTTATATTTGCTTTCCCAAGCTCATCAGGAGCTTACGAAACGTGAAGAAGCACAGGCACGTGCTAACAATGTTGCAAATGCAACTAACGGGAGACGTGGAGTAAAGCGCAAGTCTTATGACCCAGCAAGTCCACCGCCTCAACCTGCTCCCACAGCCCGCGCCCAATCTCAGCAGCATGACGCTCCCACCAAACGTGCACGCGCTAACACTGTAACCAGTGTCAGCACCAATGGTCGTGGTAAAGCATCTACAGATGATGAAGAGGATGACGATGACGATGATGATGATGACCTACCTCCTTCTCAGAACGCCGGAGGGCGGAAGCAGACAAAGAAGCCCGAAACAGAGGAAGAGAAGCGACGTAACTTCCTCGAACGAAATAGACAAGGTTTGACTTTCTTTAAATTTCCTCTTCAGGTTGCTGAGTTACCGTGTAGCCGCCTTAAAGTGTCGACAGCGCAAAAAGGCATGGCTTGCATCATTGCAGGCGAAGGTCGAGTATCTTCAGACCGAGAACGAGCGGTTAACATCCGCTCTCGTCTCCTCGCGCGAGGAGATTTCGCGGTTATCTGCCCTCGTCGGGGGAGCTGTCATAGGACCAGGGGGACCGACTGTCGGTCCAGGAGTGGGCCCACCACCCGTAGCGGTCAATGGCGTGGCCACGAATGGTCAACCCATCAGCATGAACATGAATCTTGTTGCCAAAGGCGCGCAGGCCGCCACCTCTGGTCGCGCGAGCTATGGGTACTAAATGCCTTAAAGCTCGAGGGGTCCTTTCATCTACTATTCGTTTCATGATGTGTTGCGCTATATGTTGACTCGGCACCGCTCGTTACGAATATGGACCGCGTAGGATGTAGGATTGTCGTTATCTTTATTTTTGCATCATCCTTGACACACGAGAAAGATGCCGCTGCGCATCCTGCATAGTCCTCGCATCCCTAGCATTTCATTTTTCACTAGTCTACCTACCGCCCGCAGTGCCATCGCTCGCATTGACACCACTTCGACGTCTTCCTCGGCACAACTTAGCATATTGCCATACCCTTTATCTCGACCTCTCGACCCTACACACTCCGCAAAAGAAAATACGAATTGTACCCTCGCTTGTACGTTGTGAAGTAGGCGATATATCATACATACATCATACATTTGTACATCCTGACCTGAATACATACAGAGGCATCGGCGCGCGCACATGAAATGCGCTGTCCTCGACTCTATAACAAGGCAGAAATATCGAGGGATGAAATTTTCAAGTTATTGTCATTTTGGCCCAGACGCAAAACACCCACGTCGTTCGACTTATCGACTTATCACCGGCCACTACACTGTACAGCCGGGTACACAGATGCATAGTTCATAGCTGACCATCTTGATTGATATTCCTGCGCCGCATAAGCCCACGCATCGTGATATGTGCCAGCACATGTACCGCATGTCCGCGAACTTCCGACGATTATCACATGGTATCCGCGTCTCTCGATCAATATACCATTCTTGCAGGCGGTAGCTCAGTTACAACAAAGATTTAAGAAATGAATACCAGTGAGTCGGTCACGTACTACCATGGGGGACTCACTATTCACAGTCATAGTTGTAGGGCCTCATTATCGACGCCCCTTCGTCGATAATTCTCTTCTCTACTATGGTCTGATTACGCCCATATTCTATGGGCTGTGGACCCTGAGGCTTCGAGCCCTGGTGGCGCGATCGCTTGATGCGGATAGTGACGAGAAGTACCCTATCTGCCAATTGATCTTCCCGGTGGACATACGTACATCCTCCGCTGAGCGCGCATCCATGTACATACATTTCACCGCACTTTCTGCCCTCCCAAGTCAGCGTGACGATGGTGACGGTCCAATCTAAGGCAGATTTGGATACGTGGACGGGTATTGGATTCTGTCGGCCAAACAGATAACGCAGATAAGGGATTTATGTAAGGACGGCTCATTTTCATTGCTTTGCTAAATTTTTGACTGAGCGATTCTAAGGCGGGCAAGGAGCACACAGACCGGTTGCGTGAAAGAAGTACAAACGCGTAGTAGCATTGTTTGGGTGACGTTACGACGTGGGGCCCAGTATTCGCTGCACAGTTGTTGCGTTCATGGCGGCACATGCAGGCTTTGACGATGAAAAATAGTGAGACATGAGGCGGCGAACTTTAGGTCCGCTTGTGCCTCATGCTTTTTGAGGCCTCCTGTGCTATCGCTGACAGGCCTCCCGCACCTAGCATGTTGGACTCAGATCACTATGTCACCAGGCGCCTATATACGGACTCTCGCGGCCCGTACTTTCGGGCCGCACCATGTCGTATTCACTTCGTGCTCAATCTGGTTGACACGGACACGAACAGACGTACGGCCATCTGCTGATGTGACGCGGCCGATGCATCTGCAGCCAGCGGGGTAACTAGCGGCGAACATGTGCCTCCATCAATATGCCGTGTCGCCATATCTCTGAAGACACGCAAGAATCTGATCTACGTGAGCTTTTCGATGCGTTCGGACATTACAGTACCCGGGGTTTACGTAGGTCATGACCGAGAAGTATGAACAAAGGTTTCGCGAGCGCACTATTGCGCAGATGGAAAAACTAAACGGAGGTAATGTAGGACAGGGTCACGACTCAGGAGCTGGGCCCAGGCTGTCACGTGACTCTCACAATATTTGAACTTTCAACCTTCTTCCACTCTCGTCACAATATCAATGACAATGACACAACCGAACTCCAGCAACGCCCAAGGCGGTCCATGTTCTCTCGCCGTCCTCGTATCATCGAAGTAGCTGCAGTACAGGACAACGAGGTATGTATTTCTTCATGTGCGTTTTCCAACGCCGTGGTTTATGATTTTTGCCCAGGGTATATTTATTGCTCTGCCGCCAGAAAAAAACACGGTAGCAAATCCAATCGCACGCTCAGGGGTCGTCAGGACACTGCCTACTAATCTGACTACACTGCGCTCAAGATAGTTGGCACATCTCGTGCTTTTATCTGCTGCGCATCTCTTCAACACCCCGATGCGAATTGTACGACCAATGCAGCGGCAACAAGGACACTCGGAAAGTCAAGCTCAGGTGCAGCGACCGTGCAGTCACGACCTCTTCCCCTGAAAGCTGGTTTCGTGCTGTTTATTTGTTATGCATCTCCCCACACGGCGATGAGCATTAATATGGACAATTGTCTCATTTTTGTATCTGATTCTTTGTCATTTTGTCGTTCACGCCGAGAATGTGTATATTTGAATCAATTTTAGCTTGCTTCCAATGTCATGTTACGAAGTTCTGATTTTATCTCAAGCAGTCATAGAACGTGTCCTGGCTAGTGCTTACTGCACAGCTCGTGCACCTGTCCTCATTCATTGAGTACCCGATGATAGGCATCCACGATATGCTGCCTCGGATTGAATCGCTCCCTGGCTCATCTGTACATGCACATTTCCTACAAGGCTTGCATACTGACTTCCCGCTTTGTGATTTTGCAACCAAGATGCCTTGACCCACTCTCTGTGCAGCGACCAGCTGTTCCGTCTCTGCATGCACATTGCACTGAAGAAGTGTAGGTTGCGGACAGCACAGTAGCCACTTGTGCCGATGGAGTCAGTCACTCATAGAGCGCTCATCTTCTCCAAAACTGCTTATTTTATTGTTTTCTCCCACTCTGATTTCCATTTGTGCCCAGACGCTGTGACAGGTTAGCTGATCACGACAGGCATGTGACAGTGAAGACAAATTATATTTCGAATTGCTGTTCTAATGATGCTTACAATGGATACTAGGCATTTGAGGTTAATAATAATCGGACTGTTGCCAAGGATGCAAATGTCTGGTGGAAACGTGGATAAATTTGCATTTGAGAGGGGAGAATGGTGGTAACACTATGAATTATCCTGTCAGCTGTGTGATTTAGATAGAAACCTCTTTACAAATAAGTCCACC